CAGACGGAGCCAAAAAAGTAAAATCTCCCCTGCCCCGGGACGAGGCTCAGCGACGCTCCCAGTGCAGCCAGCGAACCGTTATCTGGGGGAAGCAGGAGGCGCAGAGCTGCTGCAGGGCGAGCTGGGTTGGGAACGCTGTTTGCTGCCTTCAAAAAGGCAAAATCAGGAAAAAAAGGAGCTTTTAAGTTAACAGAAAACACTCAAGGGGCTTAACAGTGTTGCACCCCCGAGCCCTGGCATTGGGGTTGGCTTTTTTTTCCCCCCTTGTTTTCCTCCTGGGCTCTTGGGGTTGATTTTTTTCCCTTCTTTTGGGGCGATGACTCAGAATGCGAATTCTGGGGGCAAATTTCTACTCAGAATGCGAATTCTGGGGGCAAATTTCTACCCAATCTCTGCTGAGGGATGTCCCCAGGAGAGGCTGGCAGGGACGGGCCAGCCCACGGGAGCTGCTGCAGAGACAAAGCTGGGGGGGCTGGGGAGCACCTCTCACCCACCTGGGCAGGAATTCACGGCACCGAGTTGTCAGCACAAGACAAAACGATCATTTTTTGTGGGTTTATTGGCAAAGAAATCTTCGCAGCAGCCCCATCGGTCTGGGTTACGGTGATGGGGAAAAGATATTTATTCCGATGTTTTATGTAAATCAGTGCGGGGTGAATACGTGCAAATCATCGGCACAGGTCACGCGTAATTAAGCCGGTCGGGTAATTCCCCTTAACGGGGATGGGGTTGGCTCTTGGCTCAGCCTAAACCTCTCTGGAGGCTGCTGGGTGGCTGGGTTTTGGCTGAAGAGCTGTGACACGCACACCTTCACTGCTCACGGCTGAAGGTCTCCGGGATTCGTGTTAACGAGCCCTTAATGAAGCAGCAGCTGGAGCAGCAGAGCAGCGAGGGACAAGGTGCAGGCCAGCAGGCGATGGGGCAGGCGGCAGGGATGGACACAGCTCCTCTGGGCTGTGCTGGGACAGAGCAGCCTGGGGACAGGGACACCCCGGCACGGGGGTCTGGGATGCTCCGGTGCTGGGGTCAGAGATGCTCTGGCACCGGGGTCAGTGACGTTCCAGTTCTGGGATGCTCCAGCGCTGGGTTCAGGGATGCTCAGGCACCAGGGTCAGGGATGCTCTGGCACTGGGGTCAGTGACGTTCCAGTTCTGGGGTCTGGGATGCTCCGGCACTGGGTTCAGGGATGCTCAGGCACCGGGGTCAGGGATGCTCTGGCCCTGGGATCAGGGATGCTCCAGCTCTGGAGTCCGGGATGCTCTGGCCCTGGGATCAGGGATGCTCTGGTGCTGGGCTCAGGGATGCTCTGGCACTGGGGTCAGGGGTGCTCCTGTTTTGGGGTCAGGGACGCTCTCTGTGACGGGGACCCCAAATCTGGGCATCAGGCTCGTGCTGGGGATGCCGGACACCAGCCCGCACCCAGCACCTCTGCCGCTAGCCTCGCCCCCATCCCTCCTCGCCTCACCTGGGACCAGCCCCAGGGCCACGGAGCCCCGAGGGACAGACGCCTCGTGCCACCCGGCGCAGGGCACCCTCCAGCCGCAGGGAAGGGCCGCGGCCGAGCTTCCCCAGCCGCCCCCAGCCACGAACACACATCCACTTCACCACCTTCCCCTGGCTCGAAGCTCGTTAGCCAGCAGCCTGCCAATCAACGTCAGCTCCCGCGGATCACCGTTAATGGATCGCTGCTCTGGCGGCCGGTATTGAATCGATAGAGAAATTAAAATGCGTTCACGCCATTCTTTCTCAGTTGTCATCTTATCTCGGCGTCTAGCGCGGCAGATTACGGAATCCATCATCATTTAGCCTTTGTAGCTCGCAAAATTCATAATTAACAAAAAAATTTCTATTCACTTGCTCGTGTAATTTAATTAGTTTTCCATTAAATAGAGACTGAATATCATCTAATCCCCCAACAGAGCAAATAATTGTTTTCCATTCTTTTAGAAATTATCGCTTCTTGCAACTATCAGAATTCATGAGAAGCCTCCGAGCAGTGGTGGGAGAAGGTGGGAAAATGCCGGAGGAAGGACAGGGAGGTGACTAGACGGGGTGGCAGGGCCGGGCTGCCCGCGGCAGAGACCGGACCCCCCGGTGACACCCCACCCCGGGGGGCCCCCCG